AATATCAAACATAGTCTGGTTTTATTTAGTAATGAAACTGCCTCGCCTTTACTGTACTTAATAGGCAATGATGGGATCCTCCTGTGAGCTTCTCAGATGTCAAATCGCTCAACCAGGGGTTTTCTCACGCATGCGCACAAGCATAGCACTATCTCATCGAAGGAAGGCGAGAGAAAAAAAAAAAAAAGAAGTTCACACACAAAGCCACGCCTGCGCGGTGCGCCTCTCATTTACAAGCGAAGTTGCTGTATCTTTTTAGGAAGCTACACGCTTTCTTTCGACACCCAAAGGTCGCGTGGTGTCAGGGACGCGCCTAGTCACGGGAACAGAACCGGAGCGCGTTCGCGAGGAGAGTGCAAGCTCGCGCCTCCGAACAGCGAAGAGAGAGTATCAAACAGCGTGCAAAGGGGTGGCGGTGGAGGGGGGGATCCAGCCTAATGGTTTACATTGATTGGGTCACAACGAGCAGTCAATGATTTGCGTGCAGCAGGCTGTGGTCCTTCACGCGCCCCGGCTTTTATTCTTCAGATCCTTTGTATTTTGCACGGGGAGAAACTGACACAGCAAACTCATCTGTATGATCGGGGAGCAGGAGCGCACAGTATGGTGCGGGAAACCAGACATTTATGGGTGGGAAATTTACCCGAAAATGTACGGGAAGAGAAAATTATCGAGCACTTCAAGCGGTAAGTCTCATTATTATTATTATTATTTTGTTGCTTTCTTTATTTTATTACAGCATCCTTCAGTCTGCTGTTTTCTTTTCTTTTCTTTTCTTTTTTTTCTCCTCCTAATCAAGTCGGGATGAAACAGGAGGTTCAGCCTGTAGCGAAGTCCTATTTGGCAACTATGCTGTCAGCTTTCTGCATTCTGAGCTGATCCACTCGTGGACATATGGCCACGGCCACTCATTGCCTGCTATAACTTGCGTTGTCTTGGTTGCACATTTCCAACCAGGTTTTTTTTTTACATTAGGACTTTTAGTGCAGCCCAACAAAAAAACCTACGTTAAAGGCTAATAGCAGGCAATGTAAACAATCCAGCCTTCCTGGGAGGAGGGATTGGAGGAGGGAGGGAGGAGGATGGGGGGGTCTGGAAGGCATGCACGCCGCAGCTTTGTTGCAGCCTCGCTGGCTGAGGAGCGCTGGATGCCCCGCTGCTGATGTGCAGAGCTTGGAGCTCAGTCTGTGGCAGCAGGCTACTTGTGTTTACTTTCGTGCGCAGAATGCTGGTCGCCTCTCCCACATGAAAACCGCGCAGCTTCCCCACAGCTGCTGCTGCTGAGCTGCACAGCCAGCAGCGCGTTTCGCTTCAAACCAAATCACATCCAATTCTTTCTTAAATTAGACCCTCATACCTCCTATGCTCTTCCTGTATATTCCATTTTCCCCCCTCAAAAATAATTATTATTTAAAAAGCATCTTTTTTTACATTAAGCTTTTATATTTATTTTTTCCTGGACTGGAGCGCAAATCGTGGTCTATCACGGTCTGTCTGCGCGCTCTCGCTTCTCTCTTCTGGGGCTGTCAAGGAAATAGCAGCCCGCTCCTCCGCGCATATGTGCGTAAAAACCCAAACCCGATGGAAAAAGAAGAAAAAAAATACAAATAAACACTACTTTTAAACCTAAACATGGCTTTTTGTTCTGAATTCTTACACTTCTGCCATAAATACACCAACATAATCTTGATTAACACACACAAAATGAAACTGAAATGTTTGGCATGTTCCAAAAATAGTGTGAAAGCGATGTAATAATCTTGCTGCTGTCGGAGGCTTTTGTTTTCTGTCGATGCGATGAAGGGACTGCAAGAAACAGAGGCTCCCTGTCTGGTTCATAGCGCTCTGCAGAAGGCGCAGCGATGGGCTGCCTCTCTATATGCTGTTTTATTTACATAATCCCTTGGTATGATGTGCGTAACGATATGTTTTTCCCTTTGAGGGGGGGTTGGTAATGAGTGGCAGGCTGGTCCTGCAGCAGCAGAGTTGGTTGGGAGGGAAAAAGGCTGCTGGAGAGTCATTTTCAGCACCGCTCATCTTAACCCCAGAGGTAGTGGGGGGTTTATGCAGGTGCATGACAGCCCAGTGTGTGATAGAAGTCATTGAAGATGGGGGACGGCAGAATGAGTAAGCAGTGTGAACAGCATTTCTAAAATGGCGTCTGCTCAGTATTTGGAAAGCATGCATGCCAATAAATGTATGGATGCTGGGTCAGAACAGAGAGGCAGCTTCTGGTTACCTGACAGCAGAAGCAGGTCTTGGAAAGGGAGACAGAGCTCTGTATTTGCATGGTCTTGGAAATTAAATAGGGCTCATATCTTTGTTAATCTACCCACTTGCAAAGTTGGTCGTTACAGTTTTATTAAAGGCAATTTATCAGACTGGTTTGTTTTAAAGCTTTGGTTCAGATACCGGATTCAAGGTGTACCCGGTTCTGGGAAGGTATGCTTTCAAAACCAAAGGAAAAAAAAAATAAAAAATAAAAAATATAACCCTCAAACAAATGAAAGTTTTTGATTAGAACTTTAGAAAAAAAGGTGGCAAGAAATCTTACTTTTTAAAAGTGTGCTGCGCATATATATCTATTAGGGATGTAAATAATAATTCTTTTGTATCGATGCATCGATCCAATGGCTGACGATCCGATGCATCGACACGTCCACAAGAGTATCGATTCATGTTTATTTTTATCCATTTGCTCCTGAACCTAATTCTGACTCCTGTGCTGCGGTGGCGCTAAACCTATTTTGCCCTCCTACCTCGCTTCCTTTAAGGCCAATTTATACCTCTGACACATAGCCTCTGCCACGTCAAATCTGTCTCTGCGCAGAGGCTCTGCAACCGTCGTCGCACACCTCAAAAAAATCCTGACTACACATCGGATGGTCGCAAACCCACGCAGACCTCAAGTGGAAGTATGCACACAAAAAGCAGCTGTGATTGTTCCTTGGTATGCCTTTCCGGCTGTCTGTTTGGTCGATTCGATCCCGGGGCGTGCCATTTTTAAAAACAGAGGAGTAATAACAACAATGAAAAACCATGACGAAAGCTTGTTTGAGGAGGTTTGGACATTCAATCACTTGTACAATGCCTCAGACATGTTGTTTCGGAAAATAAACACCCCCGCCAGTGCCGCCGAAGAAGTTCTTATGACCATCCACTGAAGTTCTCGCGAGTTCTCCAACAGGCTCCCCCTAGCGCTTTGCCGGGAAACTGCTGTGCGTCCCTAGAAATTCCAGACCGATGTTGCAGAAGCATACCAGCAAAACTGGTTTGCGACCAGACGCAAGCAACATTTGATGTGTGCGGTTATAGAAGTATAATCTGCCCTTTAGCCACTACCCTCTTTCTACTTGCACACATACTCGCGTAAACACAGAGGCGTTAGTATTTTTCAGTGAATGGGGTTTCATAGGCCTAGGTGGAGCACAACTTTGCTGCTTCTGTTATTTGCTGTTGTTTCTCAAATAAAATGCATAACGATATTACAGATTTCATTGATTTATTTCAAATTTGAAACATTGTCTAAAAAAAAAGGTTAAAAACAATTAATCAAATCGAATTGTAATGTGGTGTATTCGTGAGTATCGAAAATAATCAAATCATTGGGTCAGGAAATTGATACTGAATCGAATCGCCATGAGGGGTGTGATTCACACCCCTAATATCTATATATATGTGTATACGTAGGTATATGTGTATATATATGTGTATATATATCTATATATGTATGTATCATCTCATTTATGTGACAGAAAAATTGTGTTGTTGAGAATGTTCAGTCGTGATGTGGAAAAGAAAGCGTCGACCGTCACCTGTTTCGAATTAACAGTTAGGAAGCGATGAGAGGCAAACAATTGATTGCGTGCTCTCCACCCAGTTTGTTTATGTTTTAATTCAAAATGTCTATTTCTCTAAACACAACTGTAGCTTCATTTATCTGTGGATAAAAATAGTAATTTAAGAGATAGATTATGATTATTTAAGGTAGTTTCTTTGAGGCTTGATTAATAGGGGTTTGAAGGCTAAAGGCGGGCATACACTATATCATACAATTTTCCAGTATCGTGAGAATTTTCTGGATCGGGACGAGTTTCAGCCTCATCGTGCGTCCTGAGTCATGTGGTATACAGGGGGTAACGAGGGGCGATCAGCCTCTTGCGAGCACCTCTCAATCAGGATTTGTAAGTTCTGGAGAAAATTGAACATTTTTTAAATCTAGGCGGCTGTCGTAAAGTTTTTGTGGGCAAATCCTGCTGTTGAAGCAGAGCTACGAGCCCATTTACTAGAACGTCGCTCACTGCGCACGTGCAAACAAGAGAGTTCTTGTTCTTCTTCTTCCAGATTAACAAGTCCGACCAGCGCCATCTCTCGGCGCTGATTCTGACGTGTGGCTTTTGGACGTCCAGTGTGAACAGTTAGATTGCATCAGAGTGTCGGGCCGCACAGTGTAAGAACATACATCGTTAGCTGAGAACTGTTAAACCCTCTGGTTTCGTAGTACAGTTTGAGCTCTAACTGAGTGTGACGATTGATAATATCGTACAGTGTGTGCCCGGCTTAAGAGAGGCTAAGACTGAAATGGTTTCTACCAATTTAAAGCCGCCATTTTTCCTTTTCTTTCTATTGATTCATGTAAGGCATGTTTTATGAAACTTGAAGCCATTGTTACCTTTACATCAGGCATTAAATTACACAGAAGCAAGTGGTTATTTTTTTTTTTTGAACTGGAAGTTGGTGGTGGTGCGGTTCCAATGATCTTCCTTCATGAAACATGATCATAGTACCTCTTAAATAAAAATAAAAAAAATAAATAAATACATTTTTAAAAGCCTAAAAAAATTTTTTTTAATTGGTTACAATTTTTTCCTTCAAATTTATATTCATCTGTCAGGAAAAAAAAACTTCATGTTTTCTTCTCAGCGTTTTTTTTCACACAGGAAGTTTATCGGTGGTGCACCACCTCTTGCCTCGATTTCCTGTGTAAATAATTGTCAGCTTCTGAGTAAATAACACCTAAATGCAGCCCAGAGAATGACCTAAAGGCTCATGAACCCACTTTAAGATAATTATTATTTCTGCACTACTGTTGAGAGTTGCTATTTTTATATAGATTTTTTTTTTTTACAATGAAAACAAAAGGAAACCTGATTCTGTTGTTTTACGATTGGAGTTGTTTTGAGTCACTATTGATCTTGGACCTTCTTGGATTATGGGGAGTGTTGGCCTAGTGGTTAGAGCAGTGTGCTCTGAAAAGGTTGCAAGTACCCGGTTCGATCCCCACAGCCTGCACTCTGGGTCCCTGAGCAAGACCCTTAACCCCACACTGCTTCCTCTGCATTTTCCAACATAAAGTACTACCCAAATACAACTTCACATGTTTGACTTCTAAACAACTTTCTTTTGCTAATAAAATCATACTCAATTTTCTAAAATATAGATTACAAACCATGATCACTGTGTATTTATTTTTCAGGGAAGCCACCTTTCCCCTTTCTTTCATGTGCTTATCAAGTTACTTAGTATTTTTTCATGCATATGTGTTTATTAACATGCAGCGTTTCAAGGTTCAAGTCTAGTTGCTGGGTTACTGTTGCTTTGTAAGAACTAAGGACCGAGCAAAAGCAATAGTAACCGAACCGCAGTGTCTTTCACACACACACACATGCATTGGGAAAATCACAAATGAATACTGCCAGCTATTTCAAAGGTTTCAGGGTTTATGAATTTTTACTAGTAACCTTGATGATTTTTTTTAATCATTGTTTCTTTGTTTTTCCTCCCCCCCTCAGATATGGACGAGTGGAGAGCGTCAAGGTCCTGCCCAAGCGAGGTTCAGAGGGAGGAGTTGCAGCCTTTGTGGATTTTGTGGACATTAAAAGTGCTCAGAAGGCTCACAATGCAATCAACAAGATGGGGGACAGAGACCTGCGCACAGATTACAATGAACCAGGAACAATTCCTAGTGCAGCGAGGGGTCTGGACGATAGTCTGTCCTTAGGCTCACGTAGCCGGGACATGTCAGGGTTCACAAGGGCGACTGGGGGGGCCGTGTACGGCGCCCCCACGTCGCTTCACAGCAGAGATGGACGCTATGAACGCAGGCTAGACGGGTAAGTGGAGAAAGTTCGCCCTCTGAAGACAGAGCGAACCTTGGTTTGTGGTAATCGCCTTTCCGCCAAGCATCTTTCCACCATCTATTCATTTACTTACTTAGGGGTAAAGAGTAGAAGTCATGCCCAAGCATGCAAACCGATGGGAATCATCTCTAAGGTTCTCAAAGTGTAGCCAGAGCTCTCGGATTCACACTTGACACAGATCTGTTTCCTAAATGAAAGCATGTTTGTAAAAGAGAGCATCTGCTGCTCTGTTAAGGAGGTAGGAGTTTAAACAGCTGTTGGGGATCAGGTTTGTTATTTTGGTCATCTCTGTGAGATGCAGTGATCAGTTGTGGAAAACAAGGGGCAAAGATTGGATACCGCAAAATTTCCCAGGATTATTGGAAATTACTGGAGAGAGAAAAAAAAAAGAGGGAGAGAGGGAGTTAAAGAAAGAGAGAGAGAGTGGTCCAGCGGCCATCCCTGGGATTCCTCTATATGTGGAGTTACCTGCCCTGTTCGATGGATTAATTTCACCCATCTTTTCTTCATGTAACAAACCAACCGAGACACATTACATGTTTAAGAGCCATTGTTTGGATTAGTCTGATCTGGTTTCTCACCTCACGGAGGTGCTCACTACTCTCGTGGGTTGGAGTTATGTGGATACCCTACACAGGATGTTTATTCCCAACTGTTGGATTAACAATGGCATGACTCGTGAAGAATATGCCTTCATGCTAAAGGTATGGTTTGCATTTTCCTTTTTTTCCATTTATTTGTGTACTTTTTTTTTATTCGTTTGAGTTTGGGATTATATCTAATCAGGGCAATACAAATTGAGCAATGGGAGACCTCTACTGATGAGTCAGCACAGTAGAGACAACACAAACAAGTGAGCAAAAGACCTTTTTTTTAAAAAGAAATCTTTTTTGTTTTTTCTGTGGAGCTTATTTTTATTTTGGAGAAGCTGAACTTGGACTATATTTGGATCATATAAATTAAGACGACAGCTGGAAGTTTTGATTGGAGCTTTTAACTAATCTTTCTAATGGAGGAAACCTACCTCGCCTTTGTGGATTAACGTTTCCTCTTCTAACTGTGGAACTATAACTAAACCCTGGATACAATTAAAGAACCGGGCAAAGTTCGAGGACTAAATTGCACCTGTGGAGCAACTTTCGCAGAGGACCTCAAGTTTGGAGAGTGCACAGTCTCCTAATTGTGGAAGAAAGGACATTAAACATCAAGGAGTTCCTGAGTTGTTATTGCTGCTCTCTATCCGTGGAATGGAAGAATATTAATCTGGATTACAGCTTCTTTTCTCCTAATCTGTCCTAGTGAAATTTCCCTGAGGTGCAAAATGAGTGACTACTTCATAGATATGGACATTGGTACCAAGCTGGATGTTAGGACTTGCAAAGAAACTGCCGACTCATTGGTCAACGTCCTGAAGATGGTTTTTTGGATTTAACTGGACTTTTCAGTCTCACGTTTTTTTTCTCTCCATCAAAATTAAACGGATATGTGAACAGAGACATTTTCCATCATAAAAAAAGGAAACCTTAAATTGGATCACTGACGGATTATTCGAACCAAACCAGACAGTCAGAGCGGCCTAAAAATGGGGATTACGTTTTGAAATGTGAACATTTACGCTTCAGTTTTGCTTTTTAGTTTTTTTTTTTTAAAGTTTTTTTTTTTTTTTTTTTTTTTTTTTGTTCCACCTCCACTCAACAATTTTTGCCCAGTTTTTGCTCACAAAGTTCTATCTCCCTAAATTGTATTTGGAATTATATGTCAAGTTACCACTCTCTCAAAAGGTTGGTATGCCCTGCCCTGTGTATTTTAGCTGTCCTCTCTAACCCCCTAGTTCGAATCCCTGTCTCTCTCCATTTTCCTCACTAACCAAAGTAGCTGGTTCATAGATTGATTACTTAAAAAAAAAAAAAAAAGTGTTATTTTACCTTGCATTGTTTTCCTTTATTTCTTCCTATTCTCACTTTACCCCACCCTCAGCTCCTCCCCACCTCCCCACCCCACCCCGGCTCTTCTGTCTCTGAGGGAACCTTAATCAACGCAGGTGTTGAAGTCTCCCAGTATCACTTAAATAGAGAAGGGATGCAGTAATTAGACGGATAGTTAAATTAGTTATACATGTCAGTTTATACATTCTTGACAAACTACTTTTTGCATTAAATCTTTTACTTTAAATTCAACCAAGTTTTATAATGTATCTATTTAAACAGCTGTACAAACGCACAGTTAAACTTGTAAGAATTAATAGGCCACCTTTGGGTCACAGGCCTTCAGGTAAAACCTTACCAGCTTAAAATCTGTCCTAAATGAGTATTTTGAGGAGTTCATATCAAGATGTTGAAAGGCATACAAAAGATGTGAATAACTACCCTGAGGTTTGGCCAAATTAATGCAAAACGAAACAAAAAACCCTCAAAAATGTTAAGATCTTATTATATTAGCTGTTATATAATGAGAATTACTCAATTATTGAATACAATTTTATATATAAAGCACCTTAATCACCTAAACCAAATGGCCGAACACAAAACATAAATATAAAACACATTTCAATTCAGTAAAAATAATTCAAAAAAAGCAATGAGCACTTATTATGTTACTCTTATGAGTAGATACAATTATTTTAGGATTTGGTTTCTTGGTCTTTTTTCTCTTTTCTTTTAATTCGTTGGTGTAATTAGATATTTACAGAATAAAATCTCATAAAATTAAAAAC